TGTGAAACAAACACTGGATTAAATATGCCCGCAATCATTTTATTCCTTTTTACTCTCACCGAAAATGAGCTGTAAAAATAAAATGACATTGCGACTAATGATATTGATATACGCATGGACGTCTGCAGGGGGAGGGGACAGGGGCGGTGTAATCCCCTGAGAATCCGTTTTACCTTAAATTTTGTATGTTTAGCACGATTTTGGGTAGAAATTTTTGGGATTTGTCCCCTCCCTAAAAAAATTGCTGACCCTCGGTCTTCCAAAAGTTCTTGGGGTAGGTACAATTTCACAAAAAGTACTATGAAAACGTGGTCAATCGAACTGTAATTCTGGGAAATTTTCATTACCCCTAATAAGTTTTTTAATTATTCTATGTAACTAAATTATTCGGCTTAAGTGAACTTAATTTTCTGGAACCAGTAATTGAAAGCAATATACTATTAAACTAGTTTGCTTGAAAATGGTAAACTGTAGTCTAGGTGATTTAGTTTATGCAGAAAAGGTAAATTTAAAACAATTAAACATTTTTATAAAAATAATTAAGCTGTTTATTTGAATCGCAGACTCGGCAGTACTCGACCCTTTATTCGTGAATGCTAGGAAGTATGAGACAGACGCAGTGCCGTGACGCGCTTCGAGCTCCTCAGTTTCATTTGTGATTTTCATGAGGATCATTAAATTTATGGCGATCAAGAGACATACTTGGGCATTAGGCGCTTAGTAACACATGGTTAGCATATATCTAGCTCCCCATGATTCACTCTGTATAGGGGAGTCACTGCTGATATGAATGAGAAGAACTTTGAAATTCAATTTATGCAGCCGTTGATCTATTGAGCATGTCATTTGCACTCTAGGAGCTATCTAGTGAGCAAGTTGACTTTTTGTCGGTTTCTTTTAAACGTCAAAATATTTGTCACCCCCTTTCACTCTCGCCCCCCCCCCCAGGGTCATTCATTCCCTTAAAAATTTCAAATGGCAAGGGGTATCGACTAATAGCTTGTTTGGAAGGTCTTTATTTTGACATTTGTTTTTTTAAAATCAGTCAATTCGTTTTCGAGAAAATTAGAAAAATATTTATGTTAATTTGTTCACTACCCTTCTACACAGCCACAGTCAGCCAGTGAGTCACTAGTCACTCAACGTAAGACCCAAAATACCTGAAAAAATTTTTCGCATTCAAATTTTAAGCCACGTCACGCGACAAGGCCAAAGTGATTGGGCCATTGTTTATTAATGGAAATTCTGCCGGTCTCTAAGACAATATCATAAGCCTCAGGCTAGCGCGGATCGCAATGAAGTCTTCCCATAACTTCCATCCCTTTCAATGCGAGTGTCAACGACGAAAAACACTCCTTTGATCATTCATTCGTATCGCATTACGTTTAAAGCTTTTCATCAAACTACAGCTAATTGTTTTCTTGATTCTCTTCAAAGGTCCTTCTTGTTTTGCCGTACCTAAGCTCCGACCCTACATAATTTGTTTGATCTGCGATGGAGGAAGAACAAATTTGAGGAAAAAATAATGGGGGAGATATCGGATCTGTTGAACAGGAAGGTGCATTATTAGTTTAGAAGATATAAATCTTCACAGCCTACCATGTCACAGGTGGTGACACTGCTGCACAGTTGAGTGAGCCGGCCTAAAGCCAAACTGATGATTAGGGATCCAAGCTAGCCGATCCAGTTGGCCATTTATTCTATTGAGGACAAGTCTTTCCAAAAGCTTAGAAATTATTATTATTATTATTATTATTATTATTATGATAATTGAGATGAGCAGAGTACACAGTACTATAAGCTCATGCAGTAAATATAGTGTACGGACACGTAACACAAATACATCAAATAGAAAAAAATAAAAAAGACAGTTCATAGCTATAAAGTTTGTACACTCCTCCAGCTATCATACTGCACTTTGAAGCCATTAACTGAAGTAGCACCAACCACACTTTCAGGTAAACTATTCCAGGTGTTGAATATGCGGTTGGGAAGAAACCACTGTTGTTTTAAATGGCTCCTTATGCAGTTTGAAGCTGTGTCCGCGTAGATTGCTGCGCGACAGACGGTATAGATGCATGAGGTTGGTGCCCATCAAACCATGAAGTATCCTGAACGTAACTATTAGATCGCCACGAAGTCTTCGCTCAGAGAATGAGGTCAGGTTGAATAATTCAAGGCGATCTTCATAGCTTGGTCTTCGTGCTCCAAAAGGGATACGAGTAGCCCGACGCTGTACTGATTCGACGAGATTTCTATCGGGCAGAAGCACAGTGTCCCATACCGGGCCAGCGAATTCAAGAATTGGCCTCACGAATGCCTTGTAAATGTAGGCGCAAGTGTTGACATCGGATCCTTTGAAAGACCTCTGCAGCATGTATAGAAGTTTCTTGGCTTGACTACAACGCCCAGATCAGTGTGACTGGAAACTGCTTCGATGTTGTGGTCAGAGATCTTGTATGTAAATCGCGGATTTGTCTTCCCGAGGTGAAGGACGCAACACTTAGTTAGATTTAAGGGTAAAAGCCAACTGACTGACCATTGACAAACAATATCAAGATCTCGTTGAAGCATAGCAGAATTTACGACAGTATTGTAAATCTTGGTGTCGTCGGCATAAGCTGAACATGTGGAGGCAATCAATGCGGGCAGGTCACTTGTATACAGAAGGAACAGCACTGGCCCCAAGACAGAGCCTTGAGGAACTCCACTTGCTACATGATGAAGGTGAGACTGACTATCACTGACGCGCACAGAGAAAGTCGTCCCGGTGAGAAAGCCTTAATCCACAGTAACAACTCGCCTCTTATTCCCATACATTCCAACTTAAACAGAAGCCTTCTATGTGGTACGCGATCGAAGCCCTAGAAAAATTTGAGTAGATTATATCAACAGGAGTCTTTGTGTCCAGATACTGAGTCCAATCGTTGAGAGAGTGGAGAAGGTTGGTCATTATTGATCGACCAGGGAGAAATCCATGCTGATTCTTAGGGATAAGGTCATTTTCGAAAGCAAATGACAGGAGCTTATCTAATATGATTCTTTCAGCTATTTTGGCGGCGATAGGAACGAGACTTATTGGTCGATAATTTTTAGCGGAGGATTTGTCGCCCTTTTTGAATACAGGGGTAACAGAAGCACTAAGCCAGCATGAGGGTAGGGTATGAGATCTAAAAGACGATGTGAATATCAAGCATAATGGTAGGGCCAGTGCTGAAGCGCAGTTTTTAAGTACAGCAGCCGTCATCCCATCTTTACCAGGGGAGGAAGAGGTCTTCAGATTTCGCAGGTGCATTAATACATCTTCAGGCAGGAACTCAACTTCGCAAAGGCTGTTGGGACACCTATGGCAGATAGTGGTCGGTAGAAGGTCTCCATTAGGCTCATCGACGAAGTCATCACTCAGGACTCTGCCAGTAAGTTGGCAGATTCGGTGTCATCGATGTGGAGATGACCGTCAGCGTCGCGGATCTGAGGTGATGAAACTTTGGAATTCTGGTTTGTTCTTAGATACCGAAACAGCTTCTTCTTATTTTTGGACGTAACGAGTTTTCGTTCATAAGCATGTTTGGCATTAAGTAACGTTCTAGATAGGAGGTTAGAAAAGGATCGATGAGACACGTAATCTTGTGAATGGCCACTCCTTCTAAACCGTTGCCACAAAGATCTCTTGTGACGAAGCATCCTCGATATGTTAGAGTTGATCCAGGGCTTTGAGGGGTCACAGTATACCTTCTTTTCAACAGTATTGTCAGCCGTTTCGCTTAGGACTCGTTGAGCGAAAGTGTCCCACATATCTTGGGTGCTACGGTTGTTAAGCAAAGCAGGCCAGTTGACTTCAGGCAGGGCTTGGTTAAGAGCATCGTGGTTTACAATTTTGATGGTTTTAAAGTTATCGGTTGTAGAACGACTATTTATATTGAATTGGAGAGAAGATAAAAGTGAACAGTGGTCAGACTTACCAAAAGGTGGCAAATAATCTAAATTAGAAACAAAGTCGGCGTCGTTAACGAATATCAAATCCAGAGCCCTAGGCGTCTGTCCTTCCCTGAATCTCGTTGGACGATCAACAAGTTGAGATATGCTAGAGTTGCGTAGCAAGTCGATGTAAGCAGCAGAAGAAGAATTGCATTCAGGAATGGTTGACATAAGCCAGCTAATGTCACGTAGATTGAAGTCACCAGCTATGAAAAGGTTGGTGTTTTTATTTAAGAGATCTGAAATGAGACTGCACAGGTGTGTGTCTCCCAAACAGGGCCGTGGCCGATATATGCAGCCTATCGTGAAGCTGAAATTTGGGCACCTCAATTCCAAAAATAGATTGTCAATGCCATCGAAAGGACTGAAAGAGGGAGATACCGAGAAAGCCGACGCGATTTCCGTGCGAAATGCATACTCCACCAAAACCAGGAGTGCGTGGTGAATCCATTCTGTATAAATAGTATCCAGGCAAATTGATGGAAGAGTCGGACACGTTGGAATGGAGCCATGTTTCAGTAAGGCAAACGAACGTTGGATTATTGTCTCGAACAAATGCTTGGAGTTCAAGTAGCTTAGAAAAGAGAGATTGTATATTAGTGTAACAAACCGTCCAGTTTGCCACAGAATTTATCAGTTTTTTGAAGGTGTGTTCTCCTGGGTAGCTGTGTGTACTATAGAAGGTTTACCACGAACGTATTTTATAGTAATATTACTTTCGCCTGTTGTTTGACGACGTCTAAGCTCTTCGCGAAGGTGTTGTAGTTCTTGCATTTGACCTCTGGTTTTGTCGTCAGAGATTTTTACGTGACGAAGCGTGGGGTGGCTAAGGATGGAGTTTTTCTTCCGCAAAATATTGCTGACGATAATAGGTGAGGAAAACACAACTCTAATTAAACGATTGCTTGAAGTTGTTCTGCCAAGGCGAGTGATGCTGAGTCGGTGATTTTCGGCAGATGGTTCAATATGCCTAATTATCTCTGATACTATGTTTGTGTCATCGTTCTCTTCAGCTATGCCCCTCAGAATGATATTGTGGGAACGTCTAAATAACTCCATTGTCTCAACTTGGGAGCTTGGGGCAATAGGGGTAGAAGAAGCGCCGTTGCCTGAGGGCATCGTCTCCATAGATCTTGCAAGTCTCGATTCAATATTAGCAATGTTAGAAGACAGCTCTCTTTGAGTAACCTGGATATTTGTATGTTGGTTTCGCAGGCCGCTATTAAGTCAACATGCCGAGAGATCGAGTCCGAATGTTGCTGTAGCAAGTTTCTACAATAAGCAACATCAGTTCTGAGTTGAGATTGAGAGTTCTTAATATCCTTTATGTCACTGGCCATAGTTGATAAGTGGTTAAGTATAAGGGTGAGAGTGTCGGTAGGGGTAGACTGATCTGGTTGTAAAGGAGCAGTGGTTTCTGAACGAGCACCGCATGTGGAAGAGGTGGATCCGCTTCGGGTAACTCGTCCCTGTTTACAACAGGCTGGGCAAGACCATCGTTCTTTTCCGTCCGACAGTTCATCGTTGTTATCACTGTATTTTTCTACATTATCCCCATCTTCAGGATCTTTCATGTTTTTATTCTTCTTTCGTACAGTCTGACTCATGTTCCCTTATTCCAGCGGCTATTTCCGGATTACCCTATACACTCTGTAGACTAGTTTCTTAATTTGATTTGACACTATTGACGAAATGTCCAAATGACAAAACGGAATATATGGTAAAATGGCTGAAGATTACTCCCGCGGCTCTGGAAACTGTCGCCAACAGGTCCACGAACGTACCTCTTCCTGCTCTTAACTTGAACACCTCTGGTTTTAAATATTTTTGGCTTTTCTCCGATATTTTGAGGTATCTACAGTGAATACTAATTTAGTAGTCTACTTTTTAACATTACTATAATTACTGGCAACAGGCTGATCGGGCGATAAGAACTAATATCCATTGGTAAAGGTAAACTAGATTCTCGCTTTGTGTGAGACGAACCATTTTTTTAGCAAGGCTCTTCAAAAGTTCACCCCGTATCCCCAAAAATTTCGCATTTTTTCGTTAATTTTGTCCCTCGAAATACCATATGATAATTTAACGGCTCTTGCAGCCGTCGTAAACATCCAAATGGTCGTATAAATCATCTTAATGCTGGCGTAATTCTCCGCAGATTCGACTTAATTTTCCTAGTGACCCGCAGAATCTGTTTGGGTTCAGCCGCAATTATGACTGAGAACAGGGGCGGGAAAGGAAAGGGTGCAAATGGCAAAGTTATTCATCTTTCCATCTTCGCAGACTCTCAAACTTGTTCGTTTAGGTTTTGCTTACATTCAACAAGGCATTTGTGAAAAAATTGGCCCCCAGTAGGTCGTCCACAGTAATCCTGAATGCCATCCTAAGCTAGTAAAGAAGGTCTTACCACCTACAGTGATATAAAAGGGAATACTTAAGAGTATGATATTATTGAAATACAGATTTCCCTGACTATTCACTGGTGACCTTGAAATTGACGTTGAGCTTAACCTTGAAAGCCAATTCAAGGTCAAGGCGATTTTATTCAATTGGGACGCTTCACTTTTCACTCTGGTAAGGAAGACAAAAAGTTTGGAAACCATGCAAAAGAATGTCTAAGTTTTGATTTGACCGTTCAGGTCATAATAAATGTGAGTTTCAAGATCATCAACGGATAGCCTGAGAAAAGCTAAAGCTCTTGCTGCACTTTGGCCTTAGTTTTGCTTTATTTTCATCAAGATCCCTGAAATCCTTCCAAGCAAAAGTTTTATACAATGACCTTCACCAGGATGAGAAGAGAGAGAAATTCATAAAATATTTTATCTTCAAACAAAGCTTTTTCACGGTGACCTTGACCAGCACATTTAATGTTATAATAGTATTTATTCAAGGTCATAAATCTGGACGCAAAATTTCTCCGTTACCGTGGCCTAAAGTATGCAGATTTTTCCCTGACTACTCACTGGGGAAATTGAATTCGATCCTGAGCTTAACCTTGAAAACCAATTTAAGGTCAAGACGATTTTATTTAATTGGGATTCTACAATTTTAACACTGGGAACGGATACAGCGGAAAATTTTGCGTCCAGATATGCCCTTGGGTGACCTTGAATGCCCACGGTCAAGGTCATGTCTCAAAGTAAAATATATCAGCTTTCGCGATAAAAAGTGTAGGATACCAAGCAAAAAAATGTCTAAGCCTTGATTTGACCGTCAAGGTGAGTTTCAAGGCCATCAATTAATGGTCAGAGAAAAATTGAAGCTTGTTCTGTACTTTGGCCTTCATCTTTCCTTTATCTTCAGAAAGATTACTGAAATCATTACAAGCGAGGGTCTTTGACGGTGACCTTCACCGGGATGTTGGAGGTCAAAATAATTTTGCCACAAGGTTTTGCCTATACGTTTCCTGGGTCAAAAGTATAGGGTATATGAAAAAATGTTTGAACCTTGACTTGACTTCAAGGTCATTGTCAAAGTCATATGCAATGGCAAGCGATAAGCCGTCAAGGCCTTTCGGCTTTTATTTCAGCTCTGTTCCCAGAGAAATTCATAAAATATTTTATATTTATACGATAACCTTGACCAGCACGTTTAATTTTAAAATAATATTTGTTCAAGGTCATATTTCTCCGTTCCCGAGGCCAAAAGTATGGAGACTGAAATGCAGATTATCCCTGGGGACATTGAATTCGACCTTGAGCTTAACCTTGAAAGCCAATTCAAAGTCAAGGCGATTTTATATAATTGGGATTCTATACTCTTAGCACTGAGAACGGATACAGCGGAAAATTTTTCGTCCAGATGTGCCCTTGGATGAAAATTATTTTGACCTTGAATGTCTACGGTCAAGGTCACGTCTCAAAGTAAATTTTCCGCTCTATCAGCTTTTGCGAAAAAAGTGTGGGATACCATCAATGAATGGTCAGAGAAAAATTGAAGCTTGTGCTGCACTTTGGCCTTTATCTTTCCTTTATTGATTTACGAAATAATACGAAATTTGATGTCTTAGTAAATTCTTAGATGACTCTGGGTTTCACCGATCGTATATTTTGCCTTCTCAAGTAATAGTATAATTGTTTCCTGGGTAATCTTCCAATACAGATCCCGCTTGCTCTCGTCTAAACGGCACCCATGATTCTGGAAAGCAATGAGATAATACCAGGATTTCAAATTGGGAGTATCGATTTGTCGCTACTTGAAACTTTCGGGGGCTTGAAAGCTAGTCGTTTTAGTGAACTTGCAATTAACCAAATTGTTTCCCAGGCTCAGGTTTAGCTCTCTGCTCGTAATGCTCCTCTTGTAGAAATCACACAGTCCAACAGTTTTGAAACTGCAACGCTGTGTAAATGGGATATTGGATCAGTTTAATGAAAATAACTGACTGTATTTACTTGCAAAAAATACTCGTGCTTTATGATAAAATATTGCAACGGAATCACCGTTTCCCTGTGCGAAGTCTAAATTATTACTCTACAGTAATTTATAACACGTGCAACTAATTTATGACATTTTGTAACCATGTCCACTGAACTATGATGACGCATCGGTCGCTGAGCGCTGACTATCTTAACCGTGACTGTAGACCCGACTGTGACTGACTGCTTCCGCCATCTGGTCGGATATTTATGTCGTCAGTCGACGGTTCCCGATGCACAGCATTTTATAGCACAAACTCGATTTCTCCTTAAAGCTGGTAAATGACGGTAGATGCTTTCAGACGGGTCTAGATCTCGGTCTAACCTCCTATATAGCGCCGCAAGCGCTCACGCACTTGAAAGCAATCGCTCTCGAAGCTTTGCAACCTGGGATACATGATGGTGTAACTCTGGTTGCCTAATTGTGCGAGGGTACCTTTTCGCCATTAAAGATCCAGGTTACAATACCTAAACAAGAGGTAAGCTCTCATGATAGGGTGAATGAGGAAATTGAGTACTAATTCTCGTATCAAGATACATTGTTAGGCCGCCTGTGGTTGCTAGAACTGGGAAAAGCCCCTTCAGGCAGGCTGTCTCCCAATCTTGCTATGCTAGGGACAACGGAGCGGTCGTACCGGCCAGTTCTTGGAGGAGCATCGCGGTCTTCGTGCCAGATCAAGTCCACGAGAATCTGGATTCCGACCAGCAAAAATGAACGGCTCTTTCGTAGAATTCGGATGTCTATCGAAACCGGATGAGCGCTGCGATGTGTGATAATTTTTAGAAGCCATTAAATTTATAAAGCGTAAAAAGTCCTGCTTGTGTTCTAGAACAGTGAATCTTCTGGAGCTATATCCAACAGGTGTACCAAAAACCTTTAATCGTTTATTATCTCCAAATATCCAAAAATTTTCCAGATTTCTAAACCTTCCATGGCCTTAGAATATTGGAACATCTATCCAGCAGGTTTTATCGGTTGAGAAATGTCGTTAATCTAGGCAATAAGTTGGTAATTTTGCACAAAAACTACAAATCAAACTTAGTCCTTCCTCCAACCATGAAAGAGCTCAAATACATACCTATTCATAACATTCACGTTTTTAGCAATACCGTCCACCCTACCGCCTCCCCATCCTATTCACAGAGAGTTCCAACTTTAGCTAATTACCGAAGCGAGTCGAACTCCTGAGTAATCAAATTAGAGAGGGATTTGTAGCAGAACCACCTCGCCGCATTGTTGCTCCTCAGTAAATACAAGGCGCAATTAGACAAGTCTAGTCCATACCAAGAAGCTGAGGTTCTATTGGCTAAGCTGCGCACATACAGGGGATGTCACGAAAATGTTCACCGAACTGGCGGGTGACCTTTCCCATAGATATATTCCGCTCTTTAAGCTGGCTTACTATCGTTTCACTGACGTTGCAGTTAATTTGATAAGATGTTACTTGTCAAATAGAAATCAAAAGGTCCTACATCAGCTTCAAAAATGTCGGAAATGCTATAAAGTATGGTCTTTCTCAAGGTTCCATATTGGGTCGCTTACGTTTCTCTGTATATACAGGGTGTTTCAGTTTATTGTTGCATAACTTTAAGGTTCGGTAGAACTTTTAAAATTAATGCATAAAGTCTATATAAACATGGGTCGAAAAATGCGTGGCTTCCGAAATACAGGGTGTTTAAATTTACTTTCGAAAATATTTATTCAAATAAGGCCTTATTTCATCACATGCATTCCTGATTCTGTCTATTAGCATATCTCTTGTGGTTACGGGAGTCTGGTACAGTTTTTCTTTTAGAAATCCCCACACAAAAAAATCTAATGGATTTAGGTCAGGGGATCGTGGAGGCCGGGCGACTGGTCCATCTTTCTGGATAATTTTCGTCCAGCCAGTTTCTAACTATTCTCGAATAATGAGCCAGTTTCTAACTATTCTCGAATAATGAGCTGGACACCCATCAAGCTGGAACCAGGCCAATCTTCTTAAATCTAACATAACATCATCCCACATATTGCATGTTCAGCCTTTAAAAATTCAAGAAGGTCGCAGCATTTAACCTTGCAGGCCAAAGGTAGAGTCCAAATAGTCGATTACGGTAGATACCAATCCACACGTTCACACTAAATTCATGCTGAAAATTTCTTTCCCGAACTGCATGCT